ACTCTAACTCAGACTAGTAATAAGTCATCAATTATCTTGATATGAACCAAGATCTGCAAACAATCTACCTGCAGGACAGGGGCCTCCGGTCTCATCTGGGATGCGAATGCTGGCAATGGTGGACCCCAGCGTGCAGTAGAATCCTTCTTGGCATTGCCCTGTAGGGGCCTGGAGGCCAGTGGAGTTGCAATAATGTCCAGGTAGACAGGGAAAGCACTGGGTCTGTGAGAAATAAATGAGAATATCCACTTTTTCACCTCTGGACAGATAGGAAAGAGTACTGCAGAAAGAGACCTCAGGAGTAGAGTGGTTAGCTAGCCAAATATGTCAACAGTGTAACACCGTTGGAAAAAAAAAGCAAACATCATAACATCACTCTAATGTATTAACAAGAATGTTATAAACAAGACATAAGTAGTAATTCTTCTCCTCTACTCTGCACTAATTAGGCCTCCACTGGAGTATTGTGTCCAGTTCTGGGCTCCACGTTTCAGGAAAGACGTGGACAAATTGGAAAAAGTCCAGAAAAGAGCAACACAAATGATTAAATGTCTAAAACCATGGCCTCTGAGAGAAGACTGAACAACTTGGGTTTGTTTAGTCGTTTGAAGAGAAGACTGAGGGAAGAGCAGGGTAACAGTTTCCATGTCTGTAGAAGGTTGTTAAAAGGAAGAGGGAGAAGTTCTCCTATCCTCAAAGGCTAAGGCGAAGCTGCAATGGACTTTAATTACAGCAGGGAGGTCTAGGTCGGACATTAGGAAACATTTCCTGTCGAGGTCAGTAAGCAGGAGGGGAAGCTGTGAAATCTCCATCACTGGAGATTTTTAAGAGCAGGTTATACAAATGTTTGTCAGATAATACTTAGTCCCACCAAGAGAACGGGGAGACTGGACTAAATGACCTGTGAGGTCCTTTCCAGCCCTATGATTCTATATGAATCCTGCCTCTGCCACTGATTCACTGTGGGATCTCAGGTCAGGCACATCATCTCTGTGAGCTTAAGTTCCCCATCTATGCAATGGCAGTAACTTTCCCATCTTGTAGGGATGCTGTGAGGCTCATTAAAGTGCTTTCATAGCCTCAGATGCCACGGTCTCTAATTTTGGGATATTACTTTTTTGCTGTTCTTCAAAGAAAGGATGCAGGAAATGCTAAGCATGTAATCAGTTGTACATGTTACTCGGGCAGCGAGGCACTTGTGACAGGAGGAGGTCACAGAAGATCCCTTGGAGTGCTTCCTGGGGTGCTGCCAAGGTCACTGCTACTCACCTTCCTGCTCTCTGGGGCTTCTCGCTACCCTGTCCCACCGGGCCAGCTCCCTGGTGTCCCCCAGCCAAGGCACAGAGCTGAGATCATGCCTCCCCCCAGGAGCAGTACAGACACTGAAGTTCTTCAAGTCCAAGGAAAATGCAGTTTTGGGTTCAGCTTCCTCGGAAACTCCCCCCAGGAGCAGTACAGACACTGAAGTTCTTCAAGTCCAAGGAAAATGTAGTTTTGGGTTCAGCTTCCTCGGAAATGGAATCCCAAATGAATTACTTAGGTAAGCCCCTTTAACAATGAAAGGAGGATGTACACACTGAATGCTCCCCCAGGTAACAATTATTTACACTGGGCTTGATAGTAAATAAAGTGATTTTATTAAGTACAAGCAACAGGAATTAAATGGTTATAAGTGAGAGCAGGCAGAGCAAAGTAGATTACAAACTTAAAACAACAGAAAAAGCAGAGCTAATTCTAACCTTAAAATCTCAGGACAAACTTATTACAAAGTCACCCTAAAACTGTTTTTGTTCCAACTAAGTTCCTTCTCCCTGGGGTCTTTGGTTCCCTCTTTTGGATGTGCCACGCCAGCCAAAGACAAAGACCTGCTAGCTTCCTATTGTTTTATAGAATCCACTTTGGGTGGGAATTCTGCTTCTATATTCCATCCTTCGGCTACATCTCCCCTGTAGCCTTCTTGCAAAAAAGCTTATGCAAATATAGCTCGGTGTAGAATATCTCTGCATTTCATTTGCATAGTTAATGATCTGCCACTTTTGTGCAGGAGGCTTTTGCACAAAAAAGAGCCATGTAAACGACTCCTTTTTGTGCAAAAACCTCTTCTTGCGCAAGAGCCATTCTTCCTCAGGTCCTCAGGAAGAACGGCGCTTGCGCAAGAGGGGTTTTTTGCTGAAAAAGGAGCGATCTACATGGCTCTTTTTCGCTCAAAAGTGTCTTGCGCAAAAACAGCTGCTCATTAATTATGCAAACGAAGCGCAGCGATATTCCATGCTGAGCTTCATTTGCATAAGCTTTTCCGCAAGAAGTCTACAGTGTAGTCGTAGCCTTAGATGGGAAGTTACCTGGCCAACCCCTACCAGTTAGGGAGGTCACATGCAGGGCCGGCTTGAGCCATTCCTGCCCCCCGGGCAGCGCTGTGCACCTTACAGCTGCAATCGAGCGCACAGTGCCTGATGGCAGCTCTAAGGAGCGCCACGCAGCCCCCGGCCCCAGCAGATTATGACATGAAGATTGGTAGGTTACTGATGGGTTACATGAGGCAATTTGTCCCAAACGTCTTCGACTTACGTATATTTGTATCCATAAATCTATTTCAGAAAGCATGGGGAGGGGGAAGCCTTCCATCACAGCACTAGGTGGACTTAAGCTCTCCAAGTGCACAAACACCATTGCTAGTTTACCCTGTGCATTTTCCTACCTCTGAGCTCAACTTGATTTTCATGCTGAAGGTTCCCACAGGACAACGGCTGGGGACAGCAGTGCCTCTTGGACAGTAGTGGCCTGGAGGACAAGGGCCAGCCTGACCTGAAATCAAGAGGGGAGAAAGGAGTGCAGCTGGTTAAAGGCTATTATGGAAATTAGCACTACAAGCATTCAGTGCTTCTGTAATAGCCATAGCAATTCAAGCCAGCAGCAATTCATCTGTAGATTTCCCACAAGTCTTTAATTTTCTCCCATTGAAGATGGTTGAGCTACCATACAGGGCCATTCAGCTATTGTGTCCTCACAGCTAGAAAAAGTGAGTGGGAATCTGAATTCACTCCCCAGCTCAGGGAATGAGTGTGATCTAATGATGAGACCAGGGAACAGAGAGGCAGGATTCTAGCTAGTTGTTGGGACTGGGAGGCAGGACTCATCCGGTACAGAGTCATTTCCTCACAAGTCACACATCTGGGGTTCAACCAGCCAGAGGGAATTTTGCACGGGGCTAGAAAGGCAGAATCTAAAGAAGCAGCTGAACCAGGGGGCTGAAAAGATCAAGGCCTATGGGCCAGATGCCAAAGGGGGCATCGCCACAGCACACACAAAATCCAGTGTTGTTTAAGCAAAAGAAAAAGGCAGCACCTTGGAGCTTGGCCTGTGGATCAGGCCTGTCTGATCCTCGTGTACAGTAGTAGCCTTCCCAGCACTCTCCAGTCACGTCTGTCGCATTATGGTACAGACAGAACTTCCCTCCATCACAAACTCTGCACCCAGTGCTGCTCTCCAGCCCTTGCTCGGGGCTGTAGGTCCCTGGTGGGCAAGGCTGCCAATCTAGACCTGTTCCTTTGGGGCAGAAGAAGCCTGAAAGGAGAGAACAGTCACATTTATGGGTGGGAGAGAGACCTAAAGAAGACAAATCAGTAACTGGGATTTCAGCACATTGATTGTATAGACTCCCTAGGGTCACATGGGCTGGTCTTGTCAGACTGAACATGGAGCTGAAGGCACAGGGACAGGACTCATGCCCTGGTTAATTTTCCATGGCTCAAGCTCTGCCCTGCACACAGGGACTTAACCTCTTCGGAAAGCAGGGAACAATCTAGCCATTTAGTGGATGCAAAACTCACCTTTAGGACATAATTGTGGCTTCTGAAGAGGGACACAGTATTTACCCTCTGGGCAGATGTAGCACTCTTCTCCATGTGTCTGTGGCATGTAAGTGCCAGGGGAGCAGGGGACGGGACTCTGGCTTCCCAGGGGACAGGAGTGTCCCACGGGGCATGGAGCTCCTGAGAGACCATCGGTGGGTGCTGGTGTTCTGGCTCCCACTGTGCAGTAAAACCTGGAAAAGCAAAAGGAAAAGCAAAAGGAAAAGCAAGCTGTGACAGGGCAGAGGCGCCCCGCACTCCGATCCCCCTGGAAGCTGCCTTCGCGGCGACCCAGGGGTCGGAGCGAGAAGCCCCAGCACCAGCCGCACTACGAGCGGCGGCGTGCGGGCAGGAGCCGGAGGCGCCGGGGACAAACGGGGCGGCCCCAGCGTGGGGCGAGCGGCGATGTGCCGGGTGCTCCCAGGCCGCGGAGGCGGCAACGCGCCCGCCGAGACTGCGCCTGACGTCACGCGGGGGGCGGCACCAGATGGCAGGTGCGCCGCTCCGCCGGAAGTAGAGCTGCGTACAGGGGGCGGAGCCCCCACCCCCCGCCCACAAGCGGGGCGAGGATTTAAAAGGCCGGACATGACTGCCTGAGGAAGAGGTGGACCCAAACTGCGGAGGTAAGCCCCCGCATCGGCGAGACAGCGCAACAGGGAGAGGAAGCAGCCCAGGGCAGGCGAAGGGAGCCTGAGGGCAGGGGCCAGCCGGACCGGACGCCGTAAGTGTTCTGAGTCCTTAGGGCCCTGGGCTGGGGTCTGTGAGAGGGGGCGGGCCCGGACCCCCCTCTCCCTGCTACGGGAAGCCTGGAGACCCCTGGTGTTAAAGGGGCCCCCTGGGCCAAGAGGATATTTGACTGGGGACGCCAGACGGCGAACCACTGGGTGAGGGGAGCACGAGATGCCGGCGGAGAGCACAGGGTGCCAGTGGGTGCTCCGATAGAGTCCTTTACACAAGCCATCAAACATCAACAGCCTCAGGTGAAAAACAATCCCCTAAAGGCAGCAGGTGGGTAACTGACCGAACAGAGACTGTGAGACATGCCCAAGGCTCGGCACACAAAGCTGCTGGATCCTCTGGATATCTATGGAAAGCGCATTTCTGCAGATCTGATAGAGTTCTTTGAGGAGGCCAACACATAAAGGGATCCAGTAGACATAGTGTACTTGGATTTCCAGAAAGCATTTGGCAAGGTTAAAAGGGCAATGCCTTCTTTGCTTTTAAAATGGCAACCTTTTTTTTTTGGTTGAGAACTGGTTAAAAGACAGGAAGCCCCCGATAGGAATAAATGGTAAATATTCAGTCTGGAGAGGGGTAACTAGTGGTGTTCCCTAAGGGTCAGTCCTAGGACAAATCCTATTCAACGTACTCATTAATGATCTGGAGAAAGGGGTAAACAGTGAAGTGGCAAAATTTCCAGACAATACTAACCTACTCAAAATAGATAAGTGAAATGTAATGTTGATAAATATAAAGTAATGCACGTTGGAAAACATAATCCCAACCATACACACAACAAGATGGGGACTAATTTGGCTACAACTACTCAAGAGAGTCATTGTGGAGAGTTCTCTGAAAATATCCACTCAATGTGCAGCGGCAGGCAAAAAAGCAACTAGAATGTTAGGAGTCATTTAAAAAGGGATAGAGAAGAAGATAGGAAATATCTTATTGCCTCCATATACAACCATTTCCCCAAGGGATAGAGAAGAAGATAGAAAATATCTTATTGCCTCTATATACAACCATTTCCCCACCACTCCCTCCTTCCCTTATTTATTCTTGGTTCTGGACTTCCAACACTCTGGTCATCTGAAGAAGTGGGCTGTGCCCACGAAAGCTCATGATCCCATCTGCACGTTTTGTTAGTCTTGAAGGTGCTACTAGACTATGGGTTGTTTTTAAAGTTTTTCCTGTTACAGACTAACTCGGCTCCCCCTCTGAAGCTTTATTGCAATTACAGGAGAGGTTGGCACTGGGTTACTGGGTAACGTTTGTGTACTGCTCTGTCCTTACCCTGGGCTGCAGTGTCCTGATGGTGTTACCAGTCCAGTGCTGTTGCAGTAGCGTCCTCCAGGACAAGGCTGGCATCCCCGTAGATTCTTATTCCCTTCGTTGCTTGACCAGGTGCCATGTGGGCACAGAGATGGAGTGGGTGTTCCTGATGAGAGAAGTGCTTCAGAGCCCCTCGGCACAAACAGGGGGAGAAAGCAGCAAATCACACAGATGGGCGTTGAAATCAGCGTGAACTGGTCATAGACATTGGATTGGATTAAGCCTGATCCAGGAGCAGCGTGAGCCCAGCACAGCTGTATCTAGTTGAAGTGTACGCAATGACTGTGGGCATGCATAGGAATACAGGCTACAAAGGAGCAAGAGGAAGCCGGTCCAGTTGTTCAGGTCCTAGCCCGGACTTGAGTTCACGTCCCTGCTCCTCTGCAAATCTCTTATGTGACACTGGAAAGTCACACAGGGTCAGATGGAGCATTAGGCAGCTGAACACTAGGGATATAAAATCTATATCTAGGGATTAACCTGTTAACCAGTTAAATGTTAGCTTAACCTCATGTTTAACCAGTTACCAACTAAGCGGGATCCCCAGCCCCAGGGCTGCTGCCACCAGTAACAGGTGACTCCTGGCCCCAGAGGCTCCGGGGGGGGGGGGGGGGGGGC